TTTCCTCTTTTCCTAACATTGCATGTCCAATTCTCCTGGTGAGAACTTTGCACCTTTACGCATTCAGTCGCGCCAACCCACCTCTGATTGTGGGGGCTCTTAAAAAAAAGGTTGAATAGATGTGATGGGCTGGGAGGTCAGATGTTAATGTACTAGTCGTGTGAGGAGGGAGGGCGAACCATATCGATTACACATTATCGGTGACAGCAGCTTGCGCTTGGCATGGTTTGATAAAAGTTGGCCGTTTTATATGTGAAAACCACAATAAACCGGCAGTTCTTTCCAGAGTAGAAAGATTGGATTTCTCTCGATTGTGCAAAGGGAATAATAATACAGTCGGCGATGTGTTCAGAATTTGTCTTACCTTTCCGCAAGATTGTGCCAAGGACGATTCTATGTACCTGACTAAAAACCGAAGGTTACATCCAAGTTCCAGTGTCAGTCTGTTAGCGGCCGTCAGTTTGCAAAAGGACGTGGTTGTCATTTTGACAAAGTTTGAACGTCGATGCAGCAGCAGTTCATTCTAAAGCGCGTCGGCTCGAAACTGCACACGCACCGCTAATAACTCACTCACATGCACAGACACAGGCACTCGTGAATCCAAATAAGCGCAGCAACACTCCCGTACTTGCAAACACATATTCGGGGTGACATGTCGGGGCCACATGGCTGCCCCTGGGTTTAATGCATCTGACAAAGAGGTGGCCGGCTCAAGAGAAATGTCGCGCGGTAAAAAAAAAGTTCCTCCAAAGACACCCAAGACTCCTCAAACTGCCTTCAGCACGAACTGAGCAACAGTGTGTCGGAGCTGCTCGGGATTGGTGCATGAATTGTATGTAATTAAGGAAACTTCACTTTAGCCAACTAAATCCCACTTTGGAGAAGGGGCAGGGTGGAAATACTGACCTTTGGCCCAATCAATAGTCCATCAATAATAACCCGATAGTGAGGATTTCTTTTTTTGTTGTTTAGAACATTTTGCCGCGCTGGCTCTGACATTTTATTCCTGAACCGACAGGGTGGTGTTAGCGGTTGTCCCACCCTATGGGATTCGGGGGATGCTACAAATCAACCATTGCCGCGGACGCGATTTGATTTTAGTCCTCTTCTCAGATAACAAGAAAGGTAATCGCTGCTTTACTTAAATAACAACAACAAAATAAGGTGTGACATTAAACTAAAGCTCGACTGAAAGAGAAATACAGAAACAGTGGCATACTGGAACACTCACGCCCAATTAAATCCCTCTTTGTTTCACCTTCAGTCTCCTGAACAGGGTTAGCCGATGGACCTGAACCGAGGTGACACGAGCTCTATTGGCTTGAATGCCTGGAGTTGAACTAAATACAATGTATTTTGAACAAAGCTCCATGGTACGAGCTCAAACCTTTTGTTTACACATTCCTTCCTGGCAACAAGCTGAACCAGTAAGAAAGGTGATTCGTCTGACCCACAGTAAGCAACGCCAGGAACTCCTTGCATCCCTCATAACCTCGCCTTGCACATTTAACCAGACCGGTAGAATCGCTGCACATGTAGTCCGTTATTCCCTTCTCCTGGCGTCCCAGTGTAATTCTCCGTCAATGTTTTAGACTCAAGAAGTTCCATGGAGTGGGAATTCGTGTAATTGGTGCCGATACGTAAAGTGACGAGCAGAAAGGATGCATATTTCTAGATTATTCATGAGGCTTCCAGTGTGATAGTAAATGTAGTCACATTCTTATATTAAGTTGGATAAGCTTTTCCCCCTCTTTGAACTCGCGTCCAGTTTGTCAAATTGGATAACGTCCTAGTAGAGTGTTTTGAGAGTAATAGATCCGATAACGTGCAGTTAAGTGACATGCGACATGTACAGTATGCCCAGGTCGGCGTCAACTTAATGGATGAGTCAGTACTGAAATTATATAAATATATACTTTGGAATTAAGGTTAGACTTGTCTCGCGGACTACTTTGGAGCCCTAGTTATATTTCATCACATGTCGAGTGCAGGAGCTAAATAAATATTAATACAACTAAAGATAAGGGAAAATCAGAACACTTCTGAAAATTAAAACGATTATTTTGTCATTAATTGGAGGTTTAAAATTTCAGTGACATTCCCAAAACGTATAAAAATATTGCTCTATAAGATTTATATAAGGTCGAGAAAACAAAACATTCTTAGAAAATAAAAGCCTTTCACAGTAATTGGTGATAATACTGATGCAGTTATGAGCCCGGATCACATCAGTCTGCACGCGTCTTGGCCGGGTTAAGATTGCAATCAAATATCCACATGTTTAAGAGTTATCTTTGATATGGGTAAATTGCTGAGCGATTCACGCAGTGTTACAGTTTTATCAGCCTGATATCAATACGGGTTAATATGTTATCTAAAACAACCTGGGTATAAAGATGTTAAGATGCATTGTGTGTACAAGCATAGTGCCATTCTTAAACTGGGACTAAGGGGATTATTGATCCGTGCACTAGTTTTGTGACCGTTACCTGTGTGACCTGTTATGCGTTGCCTGGCTTCCCTTTCTGTTCAAATCTGCCTTTTGTTAAAAATAAACTACTTCAGTACATCCAACAGCAGATGACGGAGGTTTTACTATTCGGCAGGGGTTTGACAAAGAGCTAAGAGTTTAACTGTATGAATAGCAATTGCCAAGGCAGGGGGTAGCCAGGGTCATTTTGTTCCGTTTCAAATGGCAAATCGCATTTATGTCAGGCCTTATCTTCTGAAATCAGCGCAATGTTACTCGCAGCGCGATTTCAAGATTGGTCGCGTGTGTGTGTGTTAGATGGAGGAGAGGGATGCTGGATGTGTATATAACCTGTGCACCCTTACGGTCTCAGATCTAACACATTGCTACTTCGTTGTCAGTTTCGTTCACTACCATTGTTTGCGGTTCACCTACCTTGGTAGCTGCTGACAACAACAGGGTTAACTTTAGTCACATAACCAGAAAGAACGCTGAAGTTTCAGTGTCTAAAACCAGTTTTAGCTGTGGTATATGACGCTGGCCTTCAATGCAGCAATAGGAATTGAATACGAATACCTGAGAGTGTGTGTGTCGCACTAAATTGACAAGCAGGAGTGTCTGGCACTCGTGGGGTGTTCCTCTTTAAATTAAATTCATTTTTGTTTCAGTGGGAAGGTGAGAATTGGACCAATAGAAAATCTCCGAATGGTGGCAGATAGAGGGTTAATGTGTAACTCTACCAGTTTTCCGAGTTGCTCAGTATCAGTAAATATGTTCGACACCAGATGATCGGCGTAGTATTGCTCAGTGGAAGCTCTCGCAGGCGCGATCCGCGATGCCAATCACAGCTCCGGCTTAAACGCCGGCTCTTCAATAAGTTCAAGCAATTCTCCGTGTTCTGGCCCCCGCCGGGGAGATGGACCCACTCTCTCCCGTCTCCGGGGCGTTTATCACTAACGGTCAATAGCCGTAGGAAAGCACTAAATTTGCCCCCTCTAGGCCGGCGCGTTTATAACGCGGTTCTGGTTTTGTTTTGAAAGAGCTAATTGCCTTCAGAGTTCAGGTACACGGATCGGGAGATGGTCAGAGATTGTAAATTGAAAGCGATTCAGGAGGTGGCACACACACACACACACACACACACGCATAGAGAGAGAGGGAGAGAGGCCCTGAATGCGAAACGGAGTGGACAGGGCAAGTTGGAGTTCTCTTTCAGTTTTGATGCTTTCCATTAGTTCGCGGTGGTGAAGTTCAGTAATCTCGCTGGCCAGGCGTCTGTGTGTGTGTGTGTGTGTGTGTGTATTAGTATCTGGCTGTGTTGTGTGTGTGTATGTTTAGCCTGAGTGCCGATATCTTCCCCTCTCGCCTCAATCCCTGATCTCGCCCTCTGTGTTTGTGTGTGTTCTCTCTGTGTGTGTATGTATCTCCCTCTTCCTCTCTCTCTCTCTTGCGCTGGTCCTGGGAGCAGTAGACATCAAGCCTGGTTGCGAGGGGGGAGCCGTAACATCAGTGCCCTGGCCATTCACTTTCTGATGTTGCACGACGGGAAATGCTTTGAATACTTGCGACATGGCCGCTGGAATTGATCGCCAAGATTGACAGCACTAACCATCGCCTTCACTTGTTTCACAGAGAATAGCAAGATTTTTTTTTCGGCAATCCATCGGCAACTTCTGCCAGCGTTCCGGCGGCTCCCCCTCCCCACCCCCAGCACCCTCTTCTCCATGGCCCGGGGAAGCTCCAGCTGACTTTAAGCGCTTCGTTACAGCTCTTTTGTTTTTTTTTTCAATATATAGACATTGTTTTAAAATTGTAAAAAAAAAATTAGACACGTTTGACGACACGGGATAGCAAGGAGCTGCTTCTCGCTAGACTGGCTACTGAGGTAACTGGGCAAACCCCCTTGTGTTTTTGTTTCTCTCTCTCTCTGTGTGTGTGTGTGTGTGTGTGTGTGTTGCTTGTTGTGTCTAGCGCCCTTTGCTCGTGTACATTTCTACGGGTTTCTACTTAACGCTGTGGCTGGAAGCTGTTTTCTCTTCTCTCTCTGTTGCGATCTGGCTAGGGTCAGTTTATTCGGAAAGGACAGCGCGCCCAGGGCATGTTCTGTCCACACACACACACACACACCAACACAGCACCCCCTCCCCTCTCCATTTTGTCATTTATAATGTAAAGAAGCCACGCGAGCTCCAGCAGATTGGAGTCTGTTTTATACACAGGCACACATGCACGAAAGTCTTTCAGCCCCCACCCCTTCAAGCCCCAAGCTTCGCTCCCCCTCCTCACCTCCACATCTCCCCCCTCCAATAACCATTCCTTCCGTCCGCGATCCCACTCTCTACTGCCAAGCCGCACGCTTCAAAAGGCGATCATCCCCTCACGCGGGGAATCAGAGTTTTGTCCTGCATTCTGGGGTAGGAGGAAACGAGGGACAAATCCCTAATCATTTCCCAAACACAAGTGAAAAATACGGGGTGGGGGGGGGGCGGTAACTGTTTCATTTTCAAAAATGACCACGTGCGATATCGTCTTGAATAAATCACATAAAGTTTATGTTGAACTGGCCATCGGTGCTGTCTTTAAACATATTAGCAACAGTTCCCTGGTCTGTATGGGCGGCAATTTCGACTCTCTCCACACAGCGGTACTAGATGTTAAGCAGCGTCTGCCTAAAGGCTCGGATTGCAGAATTTTAAAGTTGCAATCTGGACTTTAAAACGTTGTCTGTTGTTCGTATGAAAGCACTTCAACACAAACACACATACTGCAGAAAGTTTATAACGTCGCCGCTATGGGGTTTTACCCACTCCCGCCTTCGACTGAGATAATCTCATTTTTAGTTACTTCTGTCCGGGGAGGGTCATGCAAATTGATCTGAGAAGAATGCAAAAGCACGTAAATTAAAATAATTCAGGCATGCAGTGACCGACCCATAAGGAGACAATACCTAACCTTTCTATATAGTCCGCTTTCCTTGGCGCGACCGTTCACTTCTGTCAACTAAAAGGGCCAAACGTGAGTCATAAAATTTACTTTCAATCAACGCTGTTTTATAGATATATATATAGTCGATAAAATGCAGGACACCATGAGCTTATTTTTCTCTCAAACAGTGTGGACAGCGATAACAATCACTATATTGTTTAGAAAGTTTTACACGTTTAAACACACTTTGTTGATTTTTATTTAAAAATCAGAATATTTAATTTGTTTCGATTTTGTTTGACTTGTAACATATCTTTGATTACTTTAGCCATTGTACAGCATGCGATGGCATATGTTTTTTAATATACTTTATATTCTTCATTTATAACACCTTGGGCTTTCATTTTCTGCGGACCGGTCAGATGACGTCGTTTGTGACGGGATTAAAGTACTTTTTAATCTCTCTGAAATATTTTAAAAAGAACTGTCATTCTGGAATTGCCATTCCGCGTATTGTGTCACAGGAGAGGGAAAGCGTTAACTGGAATCTCTAACTGCAACACTGCCTTCTGAACAGTCAAAGGCTCTGATGTTATCGATCTGATAACTGACCTTCCTTTATTCACACTTTTTTGGTTGACGAAAGGGACATTTGAAATGACAATTAATGTTGGTAGTGCTTTCTACTATTTTGTCTTGGCGAGAGGGGGCGGGGGGGGAGGGGTTGGGGCAAAGCGGTTGTCGGCGAAGAGAAGAGAGTGAATGTGAAAGTTGTCTGGGGAGTGGAGATTAGCCCTTTCTGACTCTTGGGTCAGGGGTGTTTCCCAAAATACTGAGTCAAAACTTTCGCCAGAAATAAAAGAGAACTCGAGTGTTGAACGGAGATAAGCGGCGTGTTTAACCACACCACATCTGTTTATTGTAAGGTTTAGAAGTCATCTGTAATATTGCATCTCTCCCATTTATATAACACGCCGCACAGATCGCTTTCAGAATTAAAGCTAATGCAAACTGAGAATTGTCATCTTCGAGTGATTTTGAAAGGTAATCAAAACGCCCATAGTGTTAAGGCAACACTTTCTGTAAATGAATATTTTCTCGTCATAAAATCTATTCGTGATTCATAAATAGAGGTTAATAATAATAGATACTAAGGTAAACAATGCGCTGACACTATCCTGGTGAACTGTTAAGTACATTGAACCTATACATTCGTCCTTATCAAGTATAAAAATGTACATGTGTATATATACACACTGTATCCGCTGAAGTAACGGAGAATTTATTCAGAATAAGTAACACTTGTTTTGTGAGTCTCGCAGAAAACATGTAAATGGCGCACGTTCTAAAATGTTAATAGTCTTCAAAACCCATATTTAGTCACGATAGTTTTCGAGTGATATCTCGGCACAGCAATCAATTATGAAAATAGATTTTATTAAACATATTCCGAATTTGTTTAGGCACATTTCATTTAATAACCATTCTTCGCTATACATAATACAAGTAAGTCTGTAAGGCTATTTGTAAAACAATACCCTAGCTAGTCCCAGTGTTAGGGAAAAGTTGATCTGGTAATGGCATTTTGTTTTGAACAGCTGTCTGACTTGTTGCTTGCTGTTAAAGTAACTTCCCTCATAAGGTATGGTGGCACTGAAGCTGAAAGGAGGTCCAAATGGCACATTTATAATTAGATTGCAAATTCAGCAGATTGTGCCCATACTACAAGGCTAAACTGCAAAGTCTGGGATCTCAATAGAGGCGTCTTAAAAAGAGACTCCACTCAGTCTTGGGTAATTCTCCTTTCACATTTTTCAATACCTGCAGCCAAAGGCAATGAACAGCGGGGACAGTTGATTAAGACAGTATACATTTCACATAATAAACACCTACGAAGGAACTATGAGGCTAAAGTTTGGAATTAACAGCAGGAGAGTGATATTTAAATTGTTGACTGGTATAGACTGCGCAACTACAACATGCTACTAATTTAATTCATATTTTATATACTATTATAGAAAGGGGTGCAACTTTAAATAACATTTTCATATATTTTCCATGTTTTGACAATAAAATGAAATGTATTTTAATGTAGCACAGTGCTTTTTAGAGCATCCACATTAATTTTATTTTACAACGTGACATTTTATTGTGTATCAGGCGGAATACATGCTGGATATTAGGATAGATTTTAGTAGTCAGGGCAATCCAGGAACAGCTACAAAACTAAGATAAACAGTGAACAATTTTGAAATGATTTTAATTCTCCAAATGGACGGCTCAATTGTATTGATTACTGCTGGCTACCGTCCTGTTCAATCAAGGCCTTTTAAAAGTAATAATCCAGTTTCGCATATCACTGTAACCGGGGTGACCTGTGATCATTTACAAATCGACCTGGATTTCAATATCTCTTACATTTCAATTCTAAGCCAAACGGCGTATATAAATATTGTTAAAAAGAGTACAGTGCACCCACTTTGAATGAACTAAAGTGCACCAACATCATTACTGTTTGTTCAAGGAACGTATCTAATTTAAGGCACAAATTGAACTTAATGAGAATATGATTCAAAGGCAAAATTGGAGAGGGACCATCAGCAAGGCGCAGTTTAATATCCTCGTCATATTATACATGGAATGAAATGCTGAATAATTTAGCGGTAATGGGAATTAAAAGGGCAGTAACCTTTTGAAGTTTTAAAGTTAAAAGTAATCTGCTAACGGTATTTATTATTAACTAGCAGGACATAAACTAAAGCCCTTTTGTTTTTGATTTCTGTAAATATGTCGATTTAATCATTTGTTAAAGTCTATGGTTTATAGATCAGTTGCGCAGAGACCTTGCATTAATTGGTGTTGTGCATGCGCCTTTAATAAAAAGCTGTCATTCAAAATGACTCCCAGCTCTAACTAACAGTTTGATTAATTATCGCGATCGAAAGTGAATACTTTTACTGACAGTCTTAGGGCGAGAGTCGCACTAGGTTAGAATGTCATCTAACAATTATTTAACACAATTAATGTCATCTGATGGGGCCTAGGAGATGTCAAACTGATGTATCAAAATAAGCAAAACACAATTATTTAATGTTAAAAGGGGATGGGGAGGAGGCGTGGGACTATTTGTCCAAAAGTAAGAAATCTTCGTCCAGGTTTGCCATTGAAATTAAAATGTCACCACTGAGCCGAACATGCCATTCCCCCTGATGTGCTCACCAGCACTTTTGGGGTTAATTGACTTTCTGCATCGCTAGACACTGAAGCCGGACCGGCATAATCCAAGCTATTGTAGGTTCGTTTTACTGCAGTTAGTTCAGGTCAGACGGCTAGGTTTGCAAGTTGCCTTTGCGGTGTTTACTTTTAAAATATTTTCACAGTTTGAAATATTTCACCTGAGGTGTACAATCGGAGCCCATGGTTCTCCACGCCAACACCCCCTCTTCCCAGATTCCACCCACAGAAGGCCTAGGATCCCCCCCTTAGTCGAACGCCTGGGGCCACTTCTGTCACAGTAAACTCTAAGAATTGCAGGTACTGGCGCAATCAATTTCTTTTCCTTTGACGGAAAAGTCGGCCCCACCTATGTGCATCCGAAGTGCCTTCATTTGCAACGCCCATTCAAAGAGCGCTCACTCCCATCCTTGCCTTTTGTAACTGGACGGAGATAACGACGAGTTTTAACATTAGGCCAGTGAAGGGTGGAAGGGAGAAGGAACAGAATGGAGGAGTGGGGAAATCTTTGGGGTGAAAAAAAGGTTAACGGGAAAATGCAGCATCTTGATGGTCTTCAGAGAATGGTGGAGAAAACGCTATTCGAGGACAGATGCTAAATTTACAAAAAAAAACCGATTAATTTAGAGATATAAAAACCGTAAATGTACCACGGAGAAAGAACATGATCCAAAAAGAATTTCTTCTTCAGATAAATCCACCTGAATAGTCATGAGAAGGGGAGATGTGATAAGATGAAGTTGACAGCGAGAGGGGCAGTAGAGTATGCTGTTAGGCGGGGTTTATAGGGCTGGGGCTCTCTGACAGAAGCTTACACTTCCTATCACAGCGGGTGCCAGTCAAAACAACAGAGCGTGTGGGTCTGAAAGGACAGTGTGGTGCCGGGGCTCTTAAAACCAACCCCGTGTCGTTCACTACAATTCAGCTTTGCGACGTCCGAGGTCTAAGCACAAAGCTTGGACAACCCAACTTCCATCACACATTTGCAAAAATAGAAAACATTGCTAGAATCCAAAGTTGCTGCACTAGTGGTCTTCCCGCTTCACAAAAATGCAGTTATTGAAGAATGTTGGAGAACCTACTTTTTAATTTCACAGGCACTCTTATTGTAGTGCTCTGCTGTGTGTGATTTTGTTCAGGGAGCAGCTCAGAGCTGATGAATCTTCAGCAACGACTGCTATCCTGGACTCGCCGAACGCACAGGAGGAGGGCGCGTGTGGTTTTCGCCACGATTCAGTCGACTGCAAATAGCATAAGCCAGGAATCCGTTCATTCTGCAAGCTCCGGCGAACGAGACATCTGAAGTAGCAGACAACATCCATTGAAAACACTCTGCAACTGGCCCTTGTGTATTAGGGAAAGAGTGCAGGCGACTCCCCACTGCTGTCTGCTCCAGAATCAGGTCATAAAGTTTGGGAAAATACTCATGCACAGTCTTGTGAATTTAAGCCGACTCCATTGAAAATGCAAGAATTTTGGAGTTTACAACGATCAGTTGGATTTTTTTTGCCAGTAGATTCAGTTTAAAAACACACATTATATTACTTGTATACTTGTATTTTAAAATATATTGAGGTTTAGGCAAATTTCATAACACAATATTCATGTATATGTTGTGGGAAAAAAGGGAACAGGCACCAGCTCTGAGCATTTTCTTAGACTTTTCTGATATGTGGTAGAATATGCTCTGATGCCAAATAATGCAATCAAACCTATAGAAATTATTCTTAGAATTTAATCAAAAGCTGTGATCAGTTTCTGTAATCCAAGTTGCTTCTATTCAACCTAATAGTTTAGCATTTTTGTTAGGCTATTGAAATACTATTGAAGAAAACTTGGCTTCATTAGCATATGGAAGTAATTATTTGTTGACAAATCATATTTCTTATTAAACATGCAATGCTCAAGTTTGCAACAGAAGACTAATCATAAGCAAAAACATTAGGTGCACAAATGGAATAATGTTTAATTATTTGTACTCTAGGGAGAAAGTGCCCATTTCTGAAGATGATTTTATATATGTGTAGTCTTGACACGATGCAAATATGCTTCTATAATCCTTAGAGAGTTCAATAGTAATTAACAGACAGATCACAAGGTTGCACCTTGTGCATAAACAGTTATACAGCTGTATTTTTAAATAAAAATCTGCTGTGTTTAGGTATCATTAACTCTTAAGCCTTATATAATCTGTAGTTGAATAGAATATATTGAATTAACAAAAGGCATGATATATATCATTTAGTTATTGACATTTGAGGGCTGAAGCAGTACACTATTGATCCAATAGTTGCAGCCTGATTAAGAGTGTGTTATAATGCACAAATTTGTAGCTTGAATATTATTACATTTCTGAGGTCAATTCTGTAAACCAGGTGCCAATTTTTCAGGGTATAGACTGAAAGCTGTGGTCACTATTAACTAGACAATGTTTATTTTGAGCTAAGAATTCTTTTGACTGGTAAAGGCACCAACCTGTCATTTATAGTGATGAATAGCTTATTTTTGCTCATAGGAACACCCACTGCCGTGTATTGTCTGTTGGAGTTAATGTGCAGTAGTGAAATTGACTTCTATTTCTGAAAAGAAATAAGCCTTCTTCTGTCTGATTAGGGCTTTAATTCAAGTATCGTGTAAAATGAAATACAGAGATCAGTGTTATCACTGGGATTTCAGGAAAGTGCAGAGGTGGTTGTATTGTGAAAATATTTTCATTTGAACTAGAAAGCCTTAATGGTACAATCATTATAACTTTTGACCTTCTAAGCAGGTTATATTTGGAAATAAACAAATGAAGCTGTTAAGCTCTAGTGTCAAGTATTGTTCTTATGGATCTGTTCTTGGAGATTGGAGCAATTTCAGATGATCAATTAAGTGTATTACATAAAAAGCATATTTGTGCAACATTAGATTATATTGGCCTAGATCTTATTTTTTTTTCTTGTCTATCGGTATCAAAGAAGAAGATGACAGTGCTGATGATGTTATAAACCAGATACATTTCATGCCTGACAATTCTCTGGTTTTTGGGAATATATATCTAGGGAATCCTACTGCTATAGCCCATACAAGGACTATGATCTGGTATCTTGCAAATTGCTAGACTTGATAACTCAAAGCAACATAGTCATGCAGGAGTTATGGTCATTGTCATGAGTGAAACATTAAATGTACCGGATGGTACATTCTTATGTGTTTTTCATCTAGTTCATGGCAGTTGAGTGACTACATATTTTTCCAATATTCTACCCTCCTCTTCCTTTGGCCACATTTGATACAGTAGACGTTTTAGGTACTAGTCAATATTATATAAAATATGTGAGTAGTGGCGGGTGATATATAATGTCTACCTTGTTTTGATCAGTGCAGCTCTAGACAGTACATTTACCCAGAGGCATTAAATAGCTTGAAATCACTTTTTTATAAGCTTGCAATAATGATGTAAAATCATTAATCATTCAGTGTGAACACCATTGTGCATTCATACCTTGAAAAGACTGACAGCTAAAAACTCTCGTATTTGATTAAGAATATTCTTGAATGTTACATTATATTCAAATTGTGAAAATTAACAGATGCATTGAAATGATTTCAAAGTACAATCTGAGTTCTAAATTTGGTTATAAACTGTAACACAGATTAAAACATTATTTGAACCCGTTGAATGCCTTGTGAAGAGTAATTTCACTGATAAGCTACAATGTTCATTTATGTTGTAACTCTCCTCTTAACTCTCTCTGAACTCTGTGCCTTGCTCTATCACTCTCTCTTTCAAAAGCCTTATAAAATCAAGCCTCTTAACCCCATCTTTAGCAGCTCGTTAACTTTTCTCTTAAGTTCTATGTATTTATGAATTTTCCCCATGTGAAATAACCTTGGATACACTTCTCCGTTAAAAGTGATATGTAAAAGAAAATTATAGTTATGATGGGTAACATTCCCATGAAAAATAATTGGCACTATTTTCCTTGAGCTCAATGTGTATAGGCTGAGGTTATTGGGCGTCTGTCAAATTTTAATTAACCACTGAACTCAATGTAACTATCCCAACAGCACTCTAAATTAATGGTTTAACATATGTTGATATTTAAAAAAGAACTCATCTATTTCCAACAGATTGATTAAGCCTTTTGATAATAAGTACATAGCAAGTTGTTGTGACGTAGCTGACAAGATTGGTTAAGGCCATATCTCTGTTGTCCAAATTAACATGTAGTTAATGCCTTGTTAATGGCCTATTTATCATTGCTTAAATGTACATAGTGATCCATGGTTGGTGTGAAACTCTACCCTAAAATGTCACATTAAGTGCATCCATAAAAATACTTGCTACCTTAACATGATTGTGCCTTAAATTATATCATTAGCCTGCAACAGGTACTGCTCTATGCTATAAAAGAGAACACCTGGACCAGTATTAAAAAAAACCGGTCATTTAAAAATTCTGTTACCTGTGATGATAGGAGTAATAATTGTGAGCAATCTCATTGCACAGACAGAATTTCATGGCCTCTTGTGTGAAACTAATTCCACATGTGTCCAGGCTGGGATGCCATTGGGTCTCCAGATTGCAGAAAAAGTTTGTCCTATCAACAGCTTCTTTAAAGTAAAATGAACCTCTCTGGCTGTTGGGCTAGTTAAAATATGTTTGCAATGAAGTTCTTGGCTTCAACTGAGAAAAGAGAGCAAGATATATTGTACATAGTGACCATTATTCATCTGATCTTGGTCTCCACTTCTCCTAAATGCTTGTTACCTCTCACCAACTCTTAGTTATTTCCAAGGAAAATTATAATGTAAATAAAACTTGGTCAGACGCTGTTTTGAGGGTAGCGCATGTACCCTCACATATTCATATGAAATTAACAAATGACTTTTCCTGTTGTCCTGTGCAATATTTAACCCTAAAGTGACTTTAAAAAGAGATTATCTGATTGTTATCTCATTGCAGTTTACAGGATCTTGTAGTATTCATATTGTCTGTTGCAATTCCTACAACATTGTGTATTCTTTAAAAAAAAGTTATTAATTGTCTGCAAACCACTTTGGGATGTATTGAGGCTTGAAAACTACCCTATAAATCCACATTACTTTTCTTTCTAATTTTAATTGTTTCAATGTTAGCAAAGCAGACTCTCCCACTGACTTTCTATAACATTAAAGCTGAGTGGTTTTTGCAAATGAATGGAATTCTGCGCACATAGTAACATGCACGCAAAGAGTTGTTTCATTTTTCTCTGTTTGTAGAACAATATAAGACAGGTACTATAACTCATGACTGTTGATCCATTATTGTTCAATGCAGGTATTAGTCTCAAACTGTGTCTACACTAAAAGAGGTCACACTGTATATAAAATCAAACAGAAAATGATATATTCAAGTATACAACATTGGAACAAAAAAATTGAATTTGTGTGCTGGTTTGACAATCTCACAATGTGTACTGAATAGGAGTAGGCAATTGTGTAAACACTTGGAGAGTGTTTTCAGTTCAGATCTCAGTATGGTGTTGCTTGGACAATTTGCCACTGGCAGCATCCAGGTTGTACTCTTGTCATAGCCATCAACATAAAGAAAGTAAACTGCATGCCTCTTGTGGTGTCTGCGAAACAAATATCCATGCATCACCAGACTGCCTTTAGACAAGAGTGTTAAATTCAGTATTGCGTCCATATTGCACCTCCAAGTAAGTAGCACAGTGAGAGCCCAAACAGGGAGCTCAGAGCTCATTGGTCTTAAGTCTCTCATTTGAGTGCAACTTTCATGTCAACTTTAACCACACCATAAAAAAACAGCATTACTAAGCTGTACTAGAGTGCAACCACAAGTGTAAACAGCATGAAGGCTAACAGACATTGTTCTAAGCACCAATGTTGAAACTGTCAGTGATTTATTTCACAGATACATTTTCTGAATCTAATACTGCTCCAAGGAGGCAATTCTTGCCTCTTTGGCATTAGTGAGGCTTAATTTATCAATACACAATTCAGCTGTTAAATAAAGTTTAAATATTTCCCTTTACCACAGTAAAGGCCCAGCTTGCAGTCTGGAATTCTACCCAATGGAATCACTATTCGTGCTTTTATTATTTTTACTGTTTCTCCTTTCACTCACTGTAACTGGTAATTTCAGGGATCCTTTGAAGGTGTTTAGTGATGATTAGTACAGTTGAGCTTCGATAAATGCTTAGGTATTGTTAGTTACATTTTAATGTTAAAAGAGAAGTGATTTTGTGCCCTGGTGTTCTGTACTTAACATTAGGTATGTGTTTATCTATGGCTGACTGTGCTATGTATCAGTTTGCATAGTTTTAAAAATTTAATGTTTAGGCCTGGAATGTTAAAAACTGTGCAGACCAACACTTCACACCTTAAAAAGGCAAAGCCCAGCAATGGTATTTTATCCTGTTGCTGCGTTTTGAAAGGAGCACAGTTCAGTGTTTGGAGGCACTGGAATGCCATTTACTTTATTAAATTTGCTGTAAGAGCAGGCACTAATGCTAAAATAATAAAAGCAGACCCATTTTCCTCATAAATCCTATCTAAAAATATAATTGTGCCTTTTGGAGCTTTGCACCACGTGGCTAAATGATATACTGTATCTAATCTACATATCTTTGTATGTCTAGTAGCTAATAAATTCCTTCAGCAATGAGATGTTTTTAATAGGGCAAAATGCACTTTCCTTCTTCATGAGCATTCCATCCACCATAGTGTTAAATAATTCTATTAGCAGCTAGTTTATTACAATAACAAGACAGTGCTGTGAGCCGTGTGTTGATAGAGTTCTATCTTACAAACACGCAAGTATGGATGTATTTTAGATCCATTCTCAGCCCTCCTACATCACCACTCAATTTAAATATTCCTCAGCACCCTCCCAATAAAGTTGTAACATGATGTCGTTGAAATAGAATAATTTTCTTCAATTGAATAAAAATAGATACTTGCATTCACTTTTAGATCTTTTACTTGTGTTTTTATTTGTAGACTCAAAAAATAAAACTGATATATTTCTCATACCATACCATGTACTAAGTATTATATTTTAAGAATACTTCTGCAAAAAGTCCACAGGTTCAGTATTTCTGCAAATGTTTGCAAAGAAATAGTTGCTGCTGAACATTAATATGAAGGTAATAGAGGGAATATTTTGTGTCAGTTCACATTTCATAACACCAAATTAGGCAGAGACAGACACAAACGATAATATTTGCACAGATACAATATTAGGAGATTATTTATGTTGTATTTGGTTTAGGGCAGAGATGGATAATGTGCATAAGACTCCTGATCTATTTGAACATGATACACCTTTAAGAAAATTTGACCTTTATCATATGCACATTTGTGTAATTGACATGGGGCTGTTATCTGGACTTTGTTTCAGTTTGATAACGAAGCAAATCTCAGGTTTTGATGCCTGCGTGTCCAAAGCTTCAAATAACTTATTTTAAAAACATAATTTAAATGTTGCAAGAGCTTTCTTTAAAAATGACAGAATAGGCTTGATACAAATAACTTAATTCTTTTAGCTGAATGGCAATTTGCAAATGTATTACTACTTATTCAATCTAATATATATTTATCTTAGTATTTCTTAAATGTAGATTTTTGCTTTCAGGTCATCATATAAAATGTACACTAAATGCCAGCATTGTAACGCTTATTTTAAATTCAGTCTGTTTAGGTTGGAACTAAAACTGGGCTAAATTTTCACATTTAATTTATAGAGATGTTGGTCTTAATGCAAAAAGAGTAAATGACTTGGATCTCACTGGGAAAGAATGTTCTATTTTTGTTCTCAGTGCAGCCACATTTTTACAATTATTTTGTGCAGAATGAGGGTTTTTGATATATCCCATTCAATTTATATATTTTCATTAATGAGATGAGAGTTCTTTCCTTTACATCTCAGGTCTTTTTCTACTTTTTGAGTTTAATTTATTTCATCCAGGGCAAGAGGTCAATGATTGTATGTTCTTTTCTGATTTTAATTATTTCACATTTAGTCAACCGACATCTCTTCCTAACATGCAGCTTGAAAATGGAGGGATGAAGTTAAATAAAACAAAAATCAGATGATCCAAAAGGAAGCCAAGTATCCCACACCAGCCTGACATTCTCCTGCCCACACATACCTGCAATGCTAACTTCCTAGTGTCTGGACAGGAAAGGTTGAAAATACCTCCTCGACAGCTGCTGGTGCAGAATCTGCACTTGTGTCAGCAATCGGGTCAAACTGCGTTGGCGCAAACAGTGTTAGTGTTGTTGTGCCAAGCCAAATATTTTGCCCACTGGGTTTTCAAGTGAAATGAAATGAGAAGTTTTAATTGAAAAGAAGAATTTCTGTTTTCTAGCCAAAATTTGTGTGGCGGTTTAGTAACTCGTAGATAATTAAGAGCACATATTCTTGGTTAACCCCTCCAAGACTAATGCAGCTGATTTTCCTGAGAACCTAAACAAAATAGAGGCCTTTTGTTGTAAGCACAAATGAATAAAAATTGAAACAATTTCTCTCAATTCCCCGTTTTCTCCTATCATTTATTGATAGCAACCAACTCACATTTGGGTATAGATCCAAGTAGAGGCTTCTTCTGGTTTCCTGTCCACATTTGATATGTAATTCCATGGAGTAGGGGTCTTTTTACCTTTCTGTTGACTGGTAACCAGATGAGACTGTAAGATATAGGAGCAGAAGTAGGCCATTTAGCCCATTGAGTTAGCTCCACCAATCAATGAAATCATGGCTGATCTGATAACCTTTAACTCCACTTTCCTACCTGTTTCCCAAATCTCTTGATTCCCTTACTGATCAAAAATCTGTCAATTTCAGCCTTGTGTATACTTAACAACCAAACCTTAAGAGCCCTCTGTGGTAAAGAATTCCACAGATTGACCACCCTCTGAGAGAAGAAATTCCTCCTAATTTCTGTCTTAAATGGAAGACCTCTTATTCTGAGATTATTCACTCTGGTCCTGGACTGTCCCACAAGGGGAAATAACATATCTGCATCTCCTTATTAAGCACCCTGAGAATCTGGTATGTTTCGTAAAGTCAGATAATTGCCAATTGATCATTCATCATGTAGCATGGTTCATCTGACTACATGGAAAATAAAGTTGGATGGGATGTAGCATGGGCAACCAATTAACACCTGTCCATAGCAGTGCTTCTCCCCCAGCATGTCTTCTATCTCCATTATATTAAAAAAGATCTTCCAATGAGTTATTTGACAATAACAGTTTCAAGGATGAACTCCATCATTAACCAGAATTCAAATAACTTATTATTCACCAGGAGTGACTAGATTATAACCAAGATTGAGAATCTTCCAGGTTCTTTTTTTATCTTGGGGATTGAGCAGGTATCCTCTTACTTTTGATGCTGGACTGCCAACATTAATGTTATTAGTTTATATCTCACCATAGCCATTTATGAAATTGACTTCAATAAAGCTGGTAATTTAGGGATTAGCACTAAAACAATCAATAATATCACTTATGTTTTCTGGAAATAAAACGTTCAAACTCCTATCTGATGGTGTCTACGCAAGGTTCCAGTACTACATCACACAGGCCATTTTTAATCTCCTCAAGATAACTTAATGTTGCCCACATCCTGACAAACATTCAGAGACCTAAGGATCCTTCCTTTTTGTCCCAAATCACAAAGTGCCCTAAAATAAGTGGCTACCAGAATATTGTCCATTCAAAACCAATCCAAGCTTTTGCATTTACCCCACTACCTTGCTAGCAGTGGAATATGGCCACCTTATATGGCCTTAGCCAATGTTACCACATCTTGAAGGAGTGTCCAATGACTTGATCGCTGACATAATGACATCATTGTTTTGCTACTTCCATCTGTTGCAAATTAGTTGTTTTAAATCACTGCTTTAAGTTGCATACACTACCATGTTTGGGGCAGAGTTGAAGAAGTTTTCCATTGCATTTTCCTGTGTTATACCTGATCTAGGAGATTTTAATGCTATTGATGGGGCCCCTGAAAATGTTTTAAATGCAAACTGTTCCAATCCCCAGACCTGACCTAATCTAAGACTTGCATTATAAATATTTGTACTGCAGTTGATATAATGCTTGTATTAGCTCAGATTTTCTTTGCTGTCTCAGAGACCAATAAAGGTTACAGGCTGGGCTTCAAGTACAAGTTTTTGAAAGTGTCCCTTGAGTCCTTAATTCATCAATACAGTTCCTCCACTTTTCAAAAGTGCCAAGTCTTTGTATTTGTATGACAGAACCATACCAAGCAATTTGCTGCCAAATCTACAATTTTGAGTAAAAGGTGAATTTGGCACCAGTGTTCAGATGGAATATACAATTGGCAGTTAATGCAGAAATGCATTTGTATTTTCTATGTTCCAGCAAGTGCCTTGCTTGATGCTAGCAAGTATGAGCCACTAATTTTTGTTCAATGTAGGATTGCTACAATGCATCAAAGTTTAAGTTAGTGGGCCTCTTATGTGATGAGACTACTGCCAACACTCAGCCATTGAATGGGATGTGCCTTTTGTGATATCTAAGAAAACACTGCATTGTCTTTGAGGGTGATACTCTAAAGTAAATTGTTTGCCAAACAGATTTTGATTGCATGGATCCCAAATCTGGGTAATACTGCTTTTTGACTATACTGCTAGTTGCATAGCTATAGATGAAGATATTGATTGCTCAGCCAGCACAGGAACTGAACAAAAGGGTTCAATACATCTATAGAGGCATGTAAAAATAAGAAAGAAATCTCCAAAATCAACCAAAGTTAAATTGTCTAAGGAAAGAAAGAAGTGAGACCACCTGGTTTACTGAAAATGAATACAGAAATACTTGTGAATTTCTGTTCAAGTTATGGAGATAAAACAACCTACAGGTTTGACTATTAGTTAGCAACCTTAATAAATAAGAACACTTGCCACACTCCAGTTAAGTTCTATACACTGTGACCAGGTCTTGAGACACAATTTCACATTACCAGCAATAAACCAGATAAGCATGACTGTACCTGAAGCTGTGTGAATGGACTGTTCAGGATGGAGAGCATTTCCATATCAAACAGCCACATGTGCACGGCAGTACAGTAATTAAAATGCAGTGGTTAAGTCTGTCTGTACTGGCATTGAGATAGAGCGTTGTTGAAAGTGACTGCAGTGTGCAGGCGGTTACCCTGCTGCATTTTTCTCCAAATACACTTATAATTTTCTACAAACATTAATGCTGGTCCACGCTCTTCTGTGGCTGACTTGCTTACAATCCAAAACCATTCAGAGTTGAAAGTATTTTTCTGTATCAACCCTCTCATTGTGGGTTTGTGCATTGACTATTTTTATTCTGCTTGTTTGTATTTCTTTTCGCTAAATTAAAATGAGACCATTTTCTGGTCGTGTTGAAAGAGTTGTTTCTTTTCATTTGATTTATTCCCCTTGAATTCCCCCTCCCCATTTAGAAAGTACTGGTGTGTTATCCAATTACTGTTACTGGTGTGTGGTGTGATATCATTGATATTATAAACAGTCTGTGTCAGACTTACTGAATGAAGGAAATCAGTTCTTGGTTACTTCTTGAAGAAAGGACCTAAATGTTGTATTTAGTGGCATGAAGTACATCACTTGAAGGGTACTAACTGTACAAGGTTAAACCATAAATAAAAACACTAAGATATATATAAATACAGTTTTCTGTTTTTATCCAGATACTTTATTTTCATTACACCTTTTAAAAAAAACAACTAATGTCTCTTATTACTCAAAAATTAATTCACTGAGGCGAACCCACCAAATTGTACTGTATTTAGAACTTATGAAGTGATTCTTTTAAAAGTACTTAATGGTAACTGATTGCAATTAACTATTACCCAAAGTCTCTTGTTTTAAAAAAAAGTGATTTCCAACTGAATCTCTGTTATAATTGGCAGAGAGTTTAGTTCGTGATAAAAAAAACTGCAGTATGTAGTTCCCTCAGTGCATGCTTTTGACTGTCAGCTGTATTTTTTATGTGGAGGATGGGTTAGCAAATTAGTTTCAAGAATTTTGCTTTTATCTTCAAATCCTTGCATAGACATGTCCCACTCTACCTCACTGCCTTCTCCATCCCTTGAGTTAAGCTAACTTGTTGCTCATTCCTTTTGCTCCATCATTTGTGGCCACTCTTTCAGTTACTTTATCACACACACACCAATTTCTTCTATTCTTCCCTTTTGCTTATTGTCTGTCATTTTTGTATTAGTTAATGAAGATGTTTGAATCATTTTAACATGTTAAGTGCCAGGAAATGGGAACTGTTATTAGCATGACTGGCATTAACTTTAATAATAACTAATGTTGTAAATAAATATTCTTTTATCAAATAAAATTACTTGATTTACATGAATGATGTCAGCAGAGGAGTACTAATGAAGTGCTGTGGTTTGCTGTTCATATGTGACTAAACTAGGAGTGCTTGCTGTCTCAAATAGAAAACTGTTCTTTTTCTCAGTCTTACTATTTGTGTGAGCGTAAAATTCAAGAAAACCAAAGCCCAGTTAACTATTCTGTGTAGGCCTTCACACAGAAAGTGGGAACAATTTGACTCTGGCCTGGCGTGGAATGTGTAGTGATAATTGTAACATAGTGCATCATGCACGAGATAATTATTTTCTGATATGTTTTATAAATATTATGCTTTGAATGAATTCTAAATCCCTCACTTGGAGCCATTCAATATAAAGTAACATCTTTATAATATTCTGTCAAATACTGAAGCTAGCAATGATAAATACTTTCAGATCCACAGTGCTATTACGTGTCTGTAAATGAGCTGTTGCCTGGCCTGACCAAGAGAAAGAGGAACACAAATTTTCTTACCTGAATTTAGCTGACAAGTTGCTCCTCTGTAAGGGAATGTCTCCACTTCTCCCTGACATCCAAATGTATGATTGTTTCCAAACATTTCTTTGAACAGTGGCAGTACCAGAGGTGAGAGGAAGGAGTTTGTTAACTTGATCTTATAGTTTCATGTCTGTGTGGAGGAAGCACATCATTAACACCTAACCTTCAAATATAATTTTAACATAATGTACTCACACAGTTTACTGTGGAGAAATGGATGCAAATTAGTAAAAGGAAAACTAGGAGGTAACAGTGAGCATGGTAAGACTTGATGATAGAAAAGAGGCATGGAGGCTTTTGAGAGGCAGATCCAGACCATAGGTCCAACATACGTGAAGGCTTTCGAAGATGGAACCCATGGAAAGGTTGTGCACAAGTGGTTGGTGTCAGAGGAATTAAAAAGCAAAAACTAGAATGCAGAAACTGAGGAGGCTGATGAGGCCGTGAAGAAGTTTTGAAATGACTCAGGTTTTGAATTCTGTATCTTGGGAGACATGGGTTGTTGGTGAAAGTTGACAAGGATGTGGGATAGGTCAGCTATAATGCTGGATGCAGATGGCAGAGCTTGTTATGTGTTAGAATTTATTTCAGGCGTGGCTGTATCTCAATTTGAGGATGCCAACTTCTCAGAGTTTTCTCCATGGATCTTTATGTGACCGGACAGGCTGGTCCTCAACCCACAAACCTTTCAACACATAGGACATCCGTGAGGCACTGGGGTCTACATTGCTGGATTTGCTTCCTTTTCTTTCCTTCTCTACCATCTTTCTGCTTCATGATTTAAACTTTTGGACTCAAACTGCAATGCAACTTAACGGATAAGCTGCCAGTATTTGGAACGATTGGTAACAAACTTCTCCATTCATTAGTGGCAATGCTACTGCAAAGCTTCAAGGAGAGCTTCAGGTGTCTTCGAAGTGTCTTGTTTGTCCTCTCCTGGCGTGTTAGTCATTTGAGAGTTCAGAAGAGAAGACTCTGCAAGGGAGACACTTTTCAGCCAATTATACAGTATCCAGTCCATTAAAGTTAATTTTGTAGGAGTTTTGCCTGAATTTTTGTAGAGTTGGCTTCGACAAGGGCTCTAGTGTTTGACAGTCCTCCCATTGAATCTGGAGAATTTAAGTAATGTAGAATTAAGGAGGTGAGGGAGCAGTGCAGGCATTGAAAAAATTGGAGCCTGAAGGGAAGGCAAGTATGGTTGAGATTTAATTGGTATTGGGGTACAGTGAGAGCAGAAGGATTTAATCTGTGGTAAATGTTCTTGGGGATATTAAGGAATTGAGTTTGAAATTCAGTTCAGCTTGAGCACTGTAACTGTGAATCTTTGGGTTCAGCATAAGTAAACGTTGAGAAGGAGTATGGGGGCACAGTCAAAGTAACAGAAATTTTGCAAGAAATCAAAGTGGAGCGGCATGGTGGCTCAGTGGTTAGCACTGCTGCCTCACAGCACCAGGGACCTGGGTTTGATTCCAGCCTTGGGTGACTGTCTGTGTGGAGTTTGCACATTCTCTCTATGTCTATGTGAGATTTCACCAGGTACTCTGGTTTTTTTCCACAAAAATGTGTGAGCCAGGTGGATTGGCCATGGTTCATTGCCCTGTAATGTCTAGGGATATGCAGGTTAGATGAATTAGCCATGGTAAAATGCGGGGTTACAGGGATTGGGTGGGGGCCACTGGGTCTGGGTGTGATAGTCTTCAGCAGGTTAGTGCAACTCAATGGGCTGAATGGCCTCTTTCCATAAAGTAGGGATTCTATGATTTTATGATCAAGCAGGATGGCTTTGAACTCACCACTGTTAATTTGGAGAAAGTTCTGCCTCATCTATGATTTCCTGTCAAATAGTAATGAACCATATTAGGGGAAAAGAGAGAAGTAGCTTGGGTGGTATCAGTTTATAAATCAAAGTTGACTAGAAATCTATTGATAATGTTACCGAGGGGCAGCATGTAAATGGGATTAGAAAGGGTGAAGGTTGTGAACTTGATGAATAATTCCAAAACAGTGTATCAAAGCATTGATGATGCATCAACTTCAAGCTGAAATGGTAAATGTCAAGGCTTCTAACTTTGCTTGCTTGCCAAAGTAAGTAGTCTCACAGAGACATTGTCAAAGAGTTAATTATTAGTGGATCATATCAAGCGAAAGTGTCCTCTACAGTTCATCAATGGCTCTGTTGCTAAGTACCTTGGCCAAGTGAAACTGAGCCCAGCAGGCCAGCAAGATCCCAGATTCAATTCCGTCTGTGGAATTGTACCCGGCATAAGTTAGCACCTTCAAGGGAGGAAGAGAGAAAACTGACAAAAGTGTGGCCTAGGCATCTTGCCCAATGAGTATTTGAACAGGCTGAATACTGTAAAGAGCTTATCAGCATCTCAGCATCCTTTTTGGTGAAGGATAGCACCTCACTGCTGAGACTTTCCGCTTATATGCAGATATTTAAGTCACTAAGACCACATCTCATTCAAACTCTTACGTTTTGCATTGTAGTTAAGCAGCAACTACTGGTTTACATAAATTTGACATTCTTAATATCTTTTGCAATTGTAATAACATCCTTTGAATAAAAAGAGGCAGACATTGTTAGCATCAGTAGGATCTCCTTTGAATGTAAAAGTTTTAAAATAATGGGTTTAATGCCAATATCGGCCTGGCTTATCAGTATTGTACTTACATTATGTGGCATAATCCTTCCCACAAATATCCATACTCTGAGGGGCCATTTAGCAGTTACTGTGCAGCTGTTACACAACGTTTTAATTAACTCTTGCCCCTTTCTCGTAATATTGTGGTAAAACTGCCTGAAACGACCTGCACATTACTTATTGCAGACATTGCTGAATGATGTGAAGCTACCCTTCACTAACAGCAATGCAAATTCATGGGGGAAACATTATTAATGACACACTTTATAACAGGGGCTAGGAATAATAATAAAAGAAAAAAAATCATTTGAACACTTGTGTTCATGCCTCCTGAGAGTGTTTAAAATAATTAGCTTCTTTCCCCTCTTAAATAAGCATTTTTTTTGTCAACGTGTTCTGTTAGCACTCACTCTCAACCCAGCTGTATCAGCCTCCTGGTCAGATTTGACAATGCATCTATCTAATTTCTCCTTGCAAGTTGTGCTGTCTTGCATGTGGGTTAGACGTGAGGTAGGTGCCAATTCACCGCTCTTGTTAGTATGAAGTATAGTGGCTTCAGGAAGCAGACTCCACTTGAGTTGAATGCCCATTCCTTCTTTAAGTGATGAAGTAACCCTTTGAAAACCAATGCCACAAAATTCTATTTTGCAATTTTTTTTTGCCAACAAAGCTTCCTTGTCTGCTATTTTTAAATAAATTCCTATTTGCTTAAAATAAATAGTATGGGGTTTTGCACATGTCTACAAGCAGTCACACATACAGCTCTGCTTTACAAAACCTGAGAAGGATATGTAACTGTCAATATAACTCCACACCACAGACTCAGCATGGAGGAGGTTGAGGACTTGATCAGAGATATGCAGTACAACAATAATGCAGACGTTACTGTGGGAGATCTCAATCTATTCTTACTTTTAACTATATTTCATCTTTTGAAATATTCTTGAAATATTATGGGCCAAATTTTCTGGTCTCTGGATCATCGTAGAATAGTTAAATGACGGAACACTTGCATCGGGACACTGTGGGAGTCCGGACATGTGGAATTGCTTGGCAAATTTAAATATCTTTGCTCCCCAGGACCCTCCACAAATGTCTGACTCTGATGTAGTGTTGGAGACCTCAGACAGTCCCACAGTATTTGCCTCAGAGATGCAGAAAATATTAGACAGAAAAAAAAATGAACCAAATCCTAGTGTAACTACACAAACTCACATCTCCACTTCCCCAACCACTTTTCCCAGTGCTCTAACCACTTGATTATCCCAAACAACCTGATAGTCAGGTCAGGTCAAGTCAACCCTCCAGTCATCCTGATATTCAACTAATTCCCTATCAAACACCCCAATCACCCCTTCTATCCTGTTCCCCAACTAGACATCCCACCCAACTATCCTCTGACCCAAATACCCTACAACCACCCACGTACCCTCCTGACCTGAAAATCACCAAACTATGACTGACCCAACCTGACTATGTCCTCACAAAAAAAAGAACTGCAGATACTGAATATCTGAAACAAAAAACAAAATAGCTGGAGAAACTCAGTAGGACTGGCAGCATCTGTGCAGTGACCTTTCTTCAGCAGTAGCTGTTCTGAAGAGTGGTCACTGGATCTGAATAGTTGACTCTGCTTTCTCTCCATAGATACTGCCAGACCTACTGAGTTTCTCCAGCTATTTCTGATTATCCCTTAGATCACCTGACTACACATTCTCCAAACCAATTTGATGCAACTATCTTCTGATCTGACTGTCTGCTGGATTTGATTGAACAATAATCCAACTACAGCCTTGACTAATCCCTAGCCCAACCAACTATCCCGAACCACCCACTCAACCTGACCCAAAAACATCACTGACCGGACAGGACTACCAACCCCTGACTCTCTGCCCAGCCAGACTAAGCCCTGACCCAATGCAACAGTGGCCCAACCGCAGACTAAACCTGTTACCTAACTACTCACTCACCCACCAACCCACAGAACACACCTTCCACCTCACCCACAAACCTAGATGCCCTTTGCACCCACCAAATCTGCTACTCACTCACCTACCCTCACTACATGCCTACCCACTTGATTCATGCACCCTCCCTGTCCACCTCACTCAGCTACCTATCCATTTATTCACTGCACCCTTCTCGTCCACCGACCTACCTACCTTAGCTAACTGCCTACTTCAATTGTTCCTCACTTATCCATTTACTCACTCACATTCAGAAACTGGGCCCTTTAAAAAAAGCATTGTGCGCTATCTTCTGCTAGACTCTACTCTGCCCTGATGGACCTCACCTCACTAAGGGACACTGCACTGTACACTTATTTGACATCTGGTACGGAAAGAGCTCATGACAGTGTCAATTTGGAAGAACACAGCAGCAGTCTGTGCATTATTGCTGCTGCTCAGAAAATTCGGGGCTATATGTCTTGGGTAATCTGTTTAATGTTTAAACAGATATTGATGATTTGATTGATTGGGT